TATCCTGAGGGCATTTTCTGATAGGTTTGAGGTCAGTACCTGAACCATTGTCATATGGTGCAAGTGCTGAGTAATCGGGCCTGTCTTATATATAGGTTTAAAATTAGTTTTAAGATTTGTATTATTACTAACCACTATGATCCTTGTGGTCGAAATAAACGACTTTTTTTTAACGAATTACTCGACAACGCCCCTTCTTGTAGCGGAAGTGGTGGTAACGGCGACATAAGATATTCGTCTGAGTACGTGTTTGCGTGCGTGCGTGCGTGTGTGTGTGTGTGTGTGTGTGAGAGAGAGAGAGAGAGCGCGCGCGCGCGCGTGTGTGTGTGTATGTTTGTGTACATATGTATGCGCGTGCGTATGTGTGTGTGTTTGTGTGCATATGTGTGCGTGTGCGTATGTGTACGCGCGTGTGTGTGTGTGTGTGTGTGTGTGTGTGCATGTGTGCACTGTTGTGTTTGTGTGCATGTTTGCACGCGCGCGTGCGTGTTTGTGTGTGTGTGTGTGTGTGTTTACCATAAACCAGTTAACATGTTTTCTACATCTTCATAATCAAGATTTTTAAGGAAGCGTTTACAAAATTGATAAGTATAGAATCGAACTATTACATGAGATATTATCATGAGACCTTACCTCCGGTCTTGATGTAGTGACCTCAAAATGTAATTCGGAATTACTAGTGGAACTTCTGGACTAGTAGAAATGGGTGTGCTGAGTTTGGGCTCGTTTTGTTAGTTATGATGAGTCCTTACCTCCGGACTTGCTGAAGTGACCTGAAGGTGTACTTCGGTATCTAACACTGTAACACCTGGACTATGTAGTAGAGCTAGGTATGCCGAGTTTGGTTTTTTTTTGTTAGTTATGATGAAACCGTCACAAAAGAAAAGTTCTTTTCACTTTATCTCTAGTACCAATAGGTATCCAAGCTGATATTCGGAAAAATGAATAACCTCGTAGTAACATCTTTAGGGGCAGTATCGATATCTACTTACCAGCCACACTGTTTTTCGCTCTAACCAACTGTCCTTTATATGAGCCTCACTTGCCCTCACGCGGTAACCACTTTACTGCACTCCAGTGCACCCACCAACATCTCTGCCACCTACGTCTCCACATCTACCATCGCACCCCTCTCTAAGCTTTCGTTCTTCACCTCCGCTACCTCCGCCTCCACCATAAACTCTGCTCCATCCGCCTCAACAATAAACTCCGCTCCCTCCGCCACCACCACCACGCGCCGTCACTATTCTTTCCGCCTCCAACACAATTCCCCGTTTCCACTATTACTGACTTCACCACAAATTCCTCTCCTCCGCCTTCACCACATACTACGCTGCATTCACCTCCGCCTCCACATCTCCATTCTCCGCCACCGTTTTCTGGGCACGCACACACACACACACACACACACACACACACACACACACACACACACACACACACACACACACACACTCAAACACGCACTCAGACGAACACACACGCACGCACACCCACCCGCACACACGCACCCGCACGCGCATACACACACAAACACGCACTCAGACGAACACACACGCACGCACCCACACCGCACGCACGCACGCACACGCATGCGCATACACACATGTGCGCTCCCGCGCAGTCACATAAATACAGACACACACACGCACACCTAAGCACACACACACACACGTATGCACGCACGCACACACTCACGCACAAACACAGACACAAATTCACACACACATACAAACACACGCGCGCGCACACATACATAAACGCACGCGCGCGCACACATACACATACGCGCGCGCGCTCGCACACACACACACACACACAACCGCACATACACTCACACACACGCGTGCGCACGAACGCACACTCATACACGCACAAGCACATACACAAACACAAAACAACAGTGGACACACGCACGCACACACGCACACACTCGTACCCACACACACAAAAGCAAACACACGCGCAACCGCACGCACACGCACACACACACACACACACACACACACACACACACACACACACACACACACACACACAACAGTTAACACACGCACGCAAACACTCACACACACACGTACTAAAAACACAACAGTGCACACACGCATACATACACTCACACACACGCACACATACACTCACACACACGCGCACGCACATGCGTTCACACGAACACACATGAACGCACATACACCCACACGCACGCGCACACACAAACTCGTATAAAAACACATACACACACACACACACACACACACACACACACACACACACACACACACACACACACACACACACACACACACACACACACACACTCGAGTGAACGCTACAATTAATTTATTTGTACACATTTTTTTTTTTAAATTTGTAAACACTAAAATTAATTTGTAATAAAGTACTATCCATCATCTTCTAATTGATCTATGACAAATGAATAAAATCACACAAATTCACTCACACGATAACAAAAACTCGAACAAACGTCTTTCCACAATAAAACCTGCCAACCAAAGTTTGATTCACAAAATCAGCATATAACGTATTTTCTTACCTTATTACTATAACGAAGTAGCCTACTGGGTTCTCTGTCACACACAGAACGCGACGTTGCCGCTTCGTGTTCGAGTACCTATTCGTCAATTATGGCTCCGGATCCACTTAGTCTAAGTAAATGTCGCATATAAATTAAATATACTCTGGATCTAAAAAATCATATTCAGTATGATTTTTTCGACCGTTTATAGATCAACAAATGTTGGTCAAATCGCTGACGAGTATATTGAAATCCTGTTAGTGCAGATCCACCGACGTCACACGCGCATCAAGAATGGATCAAAGTATATCAGTTTGCGCGACGAGGAGCTGAGCAAACACGTCAAATAGGTGGATCAACAATTGTTCTAACTTCTCACTGGATCAACATTTACCGTGAAAGGATGATTATATATATATATATATATATATATATATATATATATATATATATATATATATATATATAAATATATATATATATATATATATATGTATTATTTCTTTTATATAATTACTAAATTATATTATACCGATATAAACTTACGTATTTACTTATATTTAACTAATTACAATCATCAAATAACATAAATTCCATAGATACAAAATAATCACCATGCAAATGTAATATTTAATAAAATATTATTTACATTAACCATGTTGTGGAAACGCGCTAAACAACGTCTACCGTTATGGACGACACGCGCAGTCGGTTCAACTTATCAATCTAACTGATCAGTTCAAACTAGGACTGTTGATGTTTTTTAAAATATCGGATTTGCGATATATCAATAAATAAACTTATATATAAAACTCCGAAATTGGATATATTTGTAAATATAGATATATAGAAAATCCGATATTTTAAAAAATATCAACAGTTCTAGCTCGAACTGATCAGTTGAACTGATAGTAACTTTTCCTTCATACTTTCATCTTGAGGAATTAAAGAAAAATTGAGATTTTACTAAAAAAAATGTTGGTATTTTTCATTGAATTTACGTTCTATAAGTGAAACCAAACCACTGGTTTCAAAGGACAACGATGTTTACACTAACACCCTATATATATATATATATATATATATATATATATATATATATATATATATATATATATATATATATATATATAAACAGGAGACTCATTTTTATAAATGTTAACTGACTATAAAACTATTTTTTTTTATTTAGTTTCTTAAATTCATAAAAAAGGAGGTCTGATTAGTTATTGTAATTGATAAATGGTAGAATTTTGTACCAAAATTTCTATAATTAAGTATTTTAATAGACATTAAGTAACAAATCTAATTCTGAATTTTGTTATAGTCTTAAATAACTAAAGAAGATGAGAGGAGACTGATTTGTTAATTATTGTAGTTAACTGCTTGGTGCAAATAAGTGATAAAAATACATTACTTTTGAATTTTATTTCTCTTTCAAAACACCTGATCATATTATGACAATTTGTAAATTATTTTGACTGTAACATATTGGTTAAAACACACTTACTTTACTTAATAGAGATATGGGGTACAGCAGCCAAAACTTAACTACAAAAGGTACAAGTACTGCAAAATATATTAATAAAAAATTTATATCATTACGACTTTTTAACTTCGACCAAAACAATATACCATGAAACGAAATTACTAAACATGAAACAATTATACATCTATAACACATGTATATTAATATATAAAATCACACATAATATGATCCATTCAAATATAACATTCACCACAAAAGGAGAAACACTAAAATACTCATCACGGCACGCAAACCATCTTGTATTACCAAATATTCGCACTAATTATGGAAAAAATGCCGTAACATTAGCGGGAGCACAGTTGTATAATAAACTCCCTTCAACTATAAAAGATGCAAGTTCGCTCAATATTTTCAAGAAAAAATTATTAGACCACATTAAAAAACAAGACATTATATAACTTGGACCACCGTCTTATATTATAAATACTTCAAGCATCGCTCTTACGCAGTTAACTTGTAACTTCTATTTAATTTTGATCTACCCTAATTTATGTTTACTATTTTATTATATTGTTCTGTGTGATTTATTTTAAATTGTATGAATGTATTCATGAAGTGACATCAGTCTTAATGAATAAATAAAGATCTTTAAACCGAATTATTTTGCCAATCTCGAAATTGGCGAGATACCGCGATATTGACTAACAATCTCGCGATATCTCGCTTAAGCTAAAATCTCAAGAATTGCATTCCCTAGTTGCATTGGTTAATAAACTTTATACTTAGTAATATTACTTATTTTTATTTAAAAATTACTTAAATTTCATTTCTCTGAACAAACTATAAAAATAACTGGTTATCTACAACAAGATCATTTCTATTTAGAAAAAAATAGCATTAGCTATGTGCTAAGTGTGCACTCTTCAGCCCCTTCTGTTACATACACATTATACTGAAATATCTCTAAAAATATGTTTATTGTTTCTTTAATGCTTTTATATTAATAAATGATTGTCTTATGCAACATAATGCCCCAGGAATATCATTTCTTTCTTTTAATTTTCTTTGTATTTCCTTGAAGTTTTTTAGTTTAGGATTTGTAGAGAGTACTGAAAAAAAAATACATAAGTAATTTTTATGGTAATTAGCAAAATATAGTGTATGATATATAAAATGAAAAGGATAATTGATTGATTGACCCCATTGATTATTTTATAAGGGGGAAAAATTTCATATCAAATTTTATGTGTGTATTTTATATAGCTGTGCCTTGTTGCCTTGTCTAGTGGACGAAAACATGACTGGTGGATCATGTAGTTCTAGGTTTGAATCCTGGGTTAAAGCCAAATTCAATAGTTGGGTTTTCTTTCAAGAAGTTCTAAGTTGCAACCCAAATTCAAGAAGTAGGTAATGTTTTACCCCAGTGCCTCAGAAGGTCCTAGCACTGTGCCTGATCTCTCTATGGTTGTGAATTGCCATCACATCAGACTGTGAGAGCGAGGAAATCAAGAGTGCACCTTTTTTATAGGATAACATACGAGCACACACTCCCCCTGATGATAAGTGGTTGCTGCGGCCCATAGAAATCTACATCAATCCTCGATCACAATTCATTCATGAGGACTAAGAAATAGGGATGGACCGAATATGGATTTCACCGAATACGAATATTCGGCCGAATGTTCGGTAAAAGTTTTACCGAACCGAATACTCGGCCGAACATTATTTGGCAGGATAACCTCGAGACCCAACCAATTTATGTCGAAACTTGTTATCCTAAAGCGCACGGGATTAGCGCCGGACCCAGCCTCTCGCTCCCCGCCACACCTGACAGTTATTACATCATCTAGTACTGAGGATATTTCCGGCACATGCTTATGTTTTGACTATTCTTCTAATAAAAAAAAGTATTTCGTTGTTTTATTCTTAATTAAAGTTAAAGTTACAGACTATATACGCCCCACTTCTGGGCACAGGCCCCCGCTCATTTGTGATAGTGTTTTAGGGCAAGGAATTGTCCGCCGCGCTGCCCCAATATGCTTGTTGACGAACTTCACATGTCTTCGAAATAATTCTTCATAGTGAATAAAGAGCTGTAAGAATTTTATTCTTAGTGAAAATTGATAATTATATGATAAAAATGAGCGGCCCGGAGATTTACTATTTGGACTTATTTTAGAGAAACAGTAAAAAACATTGCATTACTCAATTCATACATTTCAATACATTCGACACTATGAAAACGAATGTTCGGTGATTTTGCCAAATATTCGGAAAAGCTGCCGAATATGCCGAATACTGAATATAAAACATATATTCGGCCCATCTCTACTAAGAAATAACTAGCCTTATTTCCAGTAAAAAGGGTCTCCGATCCTCTACACTCACCATACAAAACACAGCAGCGTTAAGCTGCTATTTTACTCTGGTATTCTGTGAGAGTGTAGTCCTTACCCGGTCGAGCTGACCCATTTATGCTGTAGCTAAATACAGCTGCAGCATTGCTCTACCACATATCACCTGTGCTTGCACACCCATCTTGCACTACATTCTCTCCTGTGCAGATGACTAATCTCCGTTGAGACTGGTTGTCTAACTGAAATTCAGTCTAAAAGACAATTCCAAGGGTGACATTCCACAATACTACATAATAAAAAGGTATGTGACTTTTTGTTTTATTTTTACTTATTTTAAGCCAGTGCTCAACTACTATCTCTACATTATATACTATCTGTTGGTAAGTAGTTATGAAGCACTAGATGGTAACTGGTAGTCTTAAGTGTAAAAAAGCCCATTCACACTTGTTGTGAAGGTGCTCAGATTTTAATTGGACAGAAAGAAATACAGTGACAAATTATTCTCATCCTTTGCTAAATGCATTATGAGGACAGAAGCAAACATTTTTATTTGAATAAGTTTGATATCAACAAGAAAAGAGTGGAGACCTGATTACCAGTGTAAGAACACCCACTAGTCCATATTGTACTGCGTGTGTCTTTATAGCCGACAGATGAAAATTGAAACAGGTGATAGGCAGCATCTAATCAGAGGCTAATGTTCAAGAGTGGGCTTTAAAAGGCTGTAATGGATGTCTCTTGTATACACATTTCTATTTCCTAATTTTAACATCTAACACCAACCATTTGAAGGATAGTTAGGTTAGATTGTAGAATGTCATCTGTCCACACTATTGACTACTTATTGGAAAAAAAACAGGTTAATTAGAATGAAAACTTCCATTAATTGATGTAGGTAATCATTCATACTATTTTTTTACCATATGCAAGACAAAAAAGTTTACTAACATACATAAACATAACACATAAGTTATTTAAGACAAGGAATTTGATAATAGGTACCTTAAAACATAAAGATAGATTTGTATTTAAATCGCAGAATATTGGACCCATTAAAATAGTATTAAAATGTATACTTACATTCATAACTTGCATTTTCCATATTCCTTAAAAGACGTACACTGTAGTTCTCAGAATCTTTTTTAGCCTCAGTAAAAAATTGTACAAAAATGGTCTGTTTTAAATCATTTTTTGTTTCAATAGTGAAGTATATTTTTAAAAACTTTTTATAATACTTCTTCGCCATCAAAAATGCTTCATGTCTTTCTTTAATTTCTTGAGATAATAATTTCTGATCTGAAAACCAAAGGAGCATAGCAATAAGCATAGTGGATGTCTAGCTCCTATGGTCAAACAACCTGCCAAGCACTGTATGAAGAAAAATTCTCCTTACTAGGAGAGGCCCTTGCCCAGCAGAGAACCTTAAAGAGCTAAAGAAGAAGCATAGGATAATTTGTAAGCTTCAATCCTGTGGTGACAACATTGGAGTTTATCAAGGGTCCATCCTCTCAGAAACTCTCTTCCTGCTACATATTAATTATCTGCTCACACTCAGTATCTATAATTATGCAGACAACAGCACACTTGTGGAAAGATACCACACCAAGTGCTTGAGCCTATCAGTATCAAAACCAATCTAAAAGAGAAGCTATGGTTGAGCATGTGATCACACTGCAGGCAGTCTCCGAATCGGAAATTTAATGCCTCCAAAATAACTAATATATAAACAAGAATAACCAACAATCACACAACAGCAGAAATCTAAATGCAAGTGTATTCTCTTTACTGCAAAAAGGAGCCAGCTCATCTTTTCTCCTTTTTTCTAAAATGTATCACTGGAATACACCTTTCATCACCTATTAGTCATAAAGATGCAGCGGTACTTCATGTTAGGACAGCTACCTACCTTATATAACGCATAAGTCCAGTCATGCTTGGAGTATTGCTGCCAACCATATATGGCCTGGTGCTATAAAATGCTATGTGGGAGCTTTGGACTCAATGGAAAGGAATGAATGTTAGGGCTGAATCTGAGTGACAGGGTGAGAAATAGTGTGGTAAAAGAAGAGTGTGGTTTGCAAGATGATGCTGTGACTAGGATTAAGAAAGGAACGTTTCAGTGGTTTGGTTATGTAGAAAGAATGAATGACGAAGGAGTGACAAAGTAAATTTAATTTGCAGAGGTGAATGGAAGAGTTGGAAAGGAACGTCCTAGGCGAAAGTTTATCGACCAAATTGACAATATATTGAAAATGGGCCAAATTAGGAGAACCCTTAACTGATGAGCATGTATGCGTAGGTATATGAATGTAGAGAAGGCGAGAGGTGTGTCAGAATCATGCCAAATGGTAGTCTGTAGTAACTGCCTACCTCTCTGGATGACAGGTGTGTTTATGTTGTTATGTTATGTTGGAAAGGAGTGCTGAGAAGATTATTGGTGACCCAAATCTGGTTAAAATCAATCTCATCAGTCTCTAATACAGGGGCAAAAATACCAGCCTATCATCTTTCTACAAGAGTATGCACAGGAAACTTCATTCCTCCTTTTCCATTCCACCATTGGACAACCAGACACTCGGCCAGTCTCCACCCTTTTATTGTTGACTTACCATGCATTTGAGCCAAACAGTTTGCTTCATCATTCATCATGAGTATGGAAAAGAAGTTGAATAAGTTGCCGACATCTGCTTTTCTATCTGATTATACTGTGGGTGTCTTAAAAGGCAAGAGTGAGTAGGCTTTTGTTAAGTCAGTGCACTTTCCCATCAGGTGGAATAGTAGTCAAGTACTGCCTTAGAAAAGCAATGATGATATTATATTAAAAAAATTGTGTGTAATTGTATACAATGTGAAACTCTTATGACATATCATGCTTATTTTATTTTTTACATAAGGAGGCTAATTAATAGAATATTCATGCACCCCCGGCGGTAAAATATTACAAGAAAATGTAACTTAAGTTTCACTTCAATATGTTATTGTCCAATATTGCTATTTTTGTTAGTTTGATTTTATAAAGTTTTTACAAACCATGTTTAAATGATTCATATTGGGTTTGTTGCCGCTGCACATCTTTAAATTTTATGTCAATTTCTAGTCGCAAAGACTTATTTGTTTCCACCAAACTTCTTAAATCGTCATCATGGTTCTGGGTCCCATTGCTATGATTATAATTAACAGTTAAAAAACTTTCTTCTATTGTTTTCAAAATACATTCCCGTGATACGTTAACGTGGAATTCAAAAGCAGGCAAACTGTATTGATCGATGTTTCGAAATTTGATTTCATAAATCCAATTTTCTTTCACTGTAGACATATCGTTTACCACTTTATTTTGTTAATACCTGCATATGCTCAAACTCCAAAGAAACTAGCATCAATAGCTGTCACAAACTCAATAAATGCTTCTGGAATTCTGGAACATGCGTAATTATTATTATGTTACTAATTACTTCTAACAACAAATAAGAACCAAATTTACTAAAAATAATTGTAAATGAAATATTAATAAATAAGCAACGCAACAAGAACAACACAATACCTAATACTTTTTCATTTTACAAAATTCAAATTAACGTCGTTTCATATCATAAGCAAACATTCTCTATTCATTTTTTTTTTTGGAGTTTATGGCCTGATATCTAGACCTTTAGGCCAGGTCTTGAGTATTTTTATTCGGTTTATTATAATTTCCCCACTGTATTTTTGATAAATTTATATAGAGGCACGTAATAGGATCTATTTTTTAACATATCACTCAGGCGGCGGGAGGGATCTTGCACTGTCACTTGATTTTGCACTATGTCACTTATTTCACTGACAAGAATCAATCTGTCAAATGAAAAGCACTCACATATAGATATCCCGTGACAGCTTAGTTCCATTCTACGCAACTTGGCGCTACCGTCGCAATTTGTACTCTGCCTACGGACGCCATTTTGAGACGCCATATTCTATTAATGTCAATCATGGGCATGCAACTTAGAACATTATTTTGAGAACAAATTGATATCTTTTTGTGCTGCCATCTTTCGTGTGGGGCATGTAAACTAAGACTTACTTTTATCGAACTAGAGTGCACACTTAAATACATAGATTACTGCCTATATACTAGAGATAGATGAGCAACTCAAGTTTTATTTACGTTAAGTTCCGTGCCCAACCGTCAGGTGGCGTAAAATTAAGAGTGCTTTGGGCCCGCCCTTTATTTGCACTTTACAATTTTATATGTTCAGAACCATTAATTACATTGCACAAGTGCTGCAATGTAATTAATGGTTCTTTATATTTCTTGTGCTAATTGCTAGTTCCTATTAATAAAATAAAAACCGGATATATTTAAAATGTTTATTGTTTAAAAATTTCTTGCCTAAATTAATAACATTAGATGTGTTAAATTTAACAATATTTGCACAATATCAATTGATTTCTTTAAACACATTCTTTTTAACTGGTTAGTTAAGTTAGGAAATATATTATGTTACAGAGATTACAATACAATAGAATTATTATTATTAAATATAGATTATTACACAATACTTATTGAAAGTCATGTTTTATTTACTACATATACCTCTGTCCTGGGAAGAACCAACAAGAAACCCAGCGGGACGTTTTTTTAAAACATATTTCACTTTACAATCATTTTGTTTATACATTTTTTAAATAAATTTTAATAGTACAGGCATGGTGGCGATCACCTCAATCACAGGGGTTATTATTGATGTATTTTTTGATATTATAATAACACTTTTTGTACATTTTTCCTTAAATAAAACATTTCAACTTATTTATTGACAAATTTTGTACATTTTCTGAAATTTTGTTTTAAAAGCGTATATGTTGCCCCATAAAAGCACTACTGACTCAGTGGAGTCTAGTAACTGGTGTTACAAGCTTATGTTTGTTCTTAGATTTTAAAGTATAAACATCTTTATTCTTATGAAAGCTTTTTATGTTTTTATGTACATACATTATATATTAAATAAAAAAAAAAATATATATTATATATATATATATATATTAATATATATATATAATATATGTACAACAATACATACATTATGGTACATACATTATTGCTATGCCAAAGTTAATATATTTATTTCATTAAATTTTATATATTTATATTTTATATATTATATATATATATATATATATATATATATATATATATATATATATATATATATATATATATATATTAATATATATATATATATATAATATATATATATATATATATATATATATATATATATATATATATATATATATATATATATATATATATATATATATATATATATATATATATATATATATATATATAATATATGTACAACAATACATACATTATTGTACATACATTATTGCTATGCCAAAGTTAATATATTTATTTCATTAAATTTTTCTCTACGCGACTTTTACAATTTAAGATATAAATTGAACGTACGGCTCTCTTTTATAAAACAAATACGGCTTCAATGTCTAATACTAAGAAAAACTGTGGTATCCACAAGACTCAACTACTTCCCATTTAAGAGCACATTGATAATTGAATCCTCTCCAAAGGTTTGCTTCTTTTCCATAATTTCAAGAATTGGTATCAATTAATTGTTAATAGTGGTACATCTTTAACTTAATATAAAAAGATACATTTTGTAGCAGCATTATTAATCTTTAAAATATGTACTTGATAACGTTATCATATTTTGGTAACAAAACTTTTTTTTAAATGTGTGTAATAACTATACTTTTAAAAATACAAACAATTTACAAAAGTGACTTTCTTATGCCCACTATACCATTGTAAATGTGTAAATCAATATATTTTTTTTACAAAATCAGCATTTTATATATGTATTATAACATACTCATACATAATACAACCTCACAAACCATTTGCGAAACTATAATCAATCTAATAAATTGTGGAAGGTACCATATAATCACATAGAGCAACAAAAATAATACTAAGAAATAATATTTCAATAAAACTGATATCATTGACTATGCACACCCACATATTCCTGAATGTGCAGTTAGCACAGTATAATATGAATATCGTGGAAGATGGTACAATTTCGAAGACAAATTGTTTGGCCACGTCGATAAAAACAAAAAAAGCCTTAAAAGATATATATTCTTAGGTAAATTGTTCACTTTACTCAAGGACATTAAAGTCCAAAAAAAAAAAAGACAGAAACAAAAAAAAAAGGAGATGCTAGTGTTCTCCTCACTACATTACAATGCAAATGTCATAGGTTTTGAAGACTGAGGATGTTAAGAGTGAAAATATGATGAACATGTTTTGGTTTGATGATAAAGGAGATAAAGTTCATACTAAGCTTTCAACTAGTTATGGATTTTGCAAAAATGCTACGATGGCAGTAATTAAAAAATATATATAATAAAAGATTTATAACAAACATGATTAAATGGTGTCTATGATCAATTTACAATTAACACCAAAGTAAGCAATAATTAAGTTAATAGGACAAAGACAGCAAGAATGCTTTTGAAATTTAAAATAAAAAATAATTCTCTTTATTTGATACTTACACTTATCGAAAGGGGAAATTTTATTTCAAAAGAATTAAGATTTATACGCATGACGTAGTAAACTGCTAAATGGGAGCATTTATAATTGCTCTTAGATAGTGATGTGGGAGAAAATGAACTACTGGATGATGCATAAGTAAGCTGACATATACCTAAGTGTAACCTGATAAAATACCTAAAATTAGGAGTAAAGCACGAATTTTAACCAACGTGTATTAGGTTGTCTTTGACTTTGTGCAAATAAGTCTTTACATATTAATAATTAATGTTCAATAAATAATTGTCTTTAACAACTTTGTTTTGATTTTATTTTCAAAACATTTTTAATTATCCCAAGAGAGCAAAGATACTTCATAGCAAGTATATTGTCCAAAGTCCGCCACGTGCCACGTCCGCCATTTTGTTTTGGTTTCTTTCGAACCACACTAATACTGTCTACTTCATCGTTCGACCCGCCATGCCTTTAGTCGTCACTTTTCGCGCACTCAGTATTCAAATAACCCCCTGAGTTTAACAGAAGTCCGTTATTTCAATTTTACGTACAGACAAACACTTCAATTACACGAGTATGAATAAATTTAAAATGGTCTACTTAGAATAATAACTGTTACAACTTAACAAGCGTGGCAACATGGCAAAATCCCCCCCCCCCCCTATGAGGCTATTGGGGAGGCCTATGTTCAGCAATGGACTTTTATAAGCAGCAATGGAAAAACCTGTATTAGATCTATCGCCGTGCAAGGTGTTATGCTCGGGGAGCGGCCAATGCTACGTGTGCTAATTCGGGGCTCTTATAATAACTTCTGTTAGTCAGTTTTGTTTGATTTTGTTTAATTCCTTTAATCAAAGATTTTATAAAAAGTGTCTAAAACATAACTCGGAACGTATATGCTGTGAAACAAAGTTTTACCTATTACAATGAGATTTCAGGAAGTTAAAAAAGAGATGGAAGTTGAATGAAGAAATTGTTAGCAAGATGCTAATAATATATTATAAAATCTGGATTATTTACTGGTAAAAATGACCTCCACTCCAAACGAAGAGGTAGTAAATAGAAGGTATTTTACCGCTCACATTTTGGCAGTTAGCAAATTTTCAGAGATTGAAAACTAAAATATTTTTATTTAACGAGTTATAAAAAGATGAAAATTAATGCAGGTATGTAAATAATGTAATAATTGTAATAATGACATTTGTAAGACAACCCCACACCAAGCAAATACATCAAATTTGTAATGTTTCAAGAAAAACACTTTTGCGACTTTCAGAAAACTTTTCATGTGTTGGAGATTATAACAAAAATAATTAAAAACATTTGACCAATGATTTCCCCGAAATGGGATATTTGAAATCATTGTTAATAAATAGCAAATTTCAATTTTTAACATGACATAAACATAAAAAAGTAAGGAGGTATTTTATAAAACAAATTTAACATAACATAACATGACACGCACACGCGCACGCGCACGCGCACGCACACGCACACGCGCACGCGCACGCGCACGCGCACACACACACACACACACACACACACACACACACACACACACACACACACACACACACACACACACACACACACACACACACACACACACACACACACACACACACACACACACACACACACACACACACACACACACACACACACACACACACACACACACACACACACACACACACACACACACACACACACACACACACACACACACACACACACACACACACACACACACACACACA